AATAATTATGTGGTCCCAAAGACCGGGCCCAACATGTTTTCCCAATTCTAGATGGGCCTTCAATTATAATGCCCTTGGGCCTGTGCGGTCTTTGGGCTTCGTCTCTTATATTGTCTCCAACCCATTGCTGTATGGCTGTTGGAACGATCCATACTGTGTCTGTAAATGGATGAACATACGGCAATGGTGGATTAACTGAAATCCGGTCATAATTGGATGACAACTTGTCATAATTTAACCATAAACATTTTGGATCGTCATTTCGTACCAGTGCTAGTGCTTCATCCTTGGTGCCGGCGGCAAGTGCATCGCGATATATATTTTCTTTGTTACTTTGGTTAGCGCAGCAGCACCTCTCATGGAATTCACCCCATTCCGTGTAATCCCCATGTTTGGAGATGTATTCCAGCACATTTTGTTAGTTGTAGGCCCCTTGTACATTCAGATGGAAATGGCGACTAGCTCAATCGTGAGTAACGTCGAAGAACCGTTCATTCTGTGTCTAAAAACGGTATGGAAATTGGACAAGGGCATGGAGATGTGGTTGCCCGTTCTCGTGTAATTTATGTGCAACCCTCACATAATTTGGCAGCCTGGTTGTGAACAGCGCTCTAATTTTCTCTAATAATCTCTCTTCAGGTATGGAACATTGGGCATATGTGAGGAAGATGTTCTTGTTTTGGACTCTAAAATGACGTCGCATTGATGCCATAACTCACTCTCAAATGATGTCACTTATTCTCTCGGATGACGCAAGTCACTCTCTGAAAAACTTTACTGGTGGAAGAGAGTTATGGAGTGAGTTATATAGGTGCCTAGGAGCGTCCCACTAATATTACCTAGGATGTTCCCCTCCGCTCCACGTGTCATCCCTCGAGTGGTGCTCCCTTCCGCAATTCGTGGCGTGTTGTCGTCTAGGGGCTCCGCTCCGTGCTGAGATCTGCGGCTAGGATTAAAAATCTAAAAAGGCAAGCGCATGCCGGAATTTATTATATTGGCCAAAATAATGGGGGAGTTTGAATTATTTTGGAAATGGATCGCGGAGATCTAGGCCAATTTAGGCGGTTGATTTCAAAATACGAGCCAGATCTATTGTTGGTGCACTGGTCCTTGTTGGTCATCGGTGAAAACAACGGTGAAAAGTTAATCCGACTCATCAACGCCTATCAGCGGCAACAAGATACTCTATTCGCCGGTATGAAAGCAGTTTCCGAACTAGAAACCCAAGCGACGTCAGACACATATTCCGTTGCTGATTATTATTACGTCACGGCGCCTGAACCAGATGTGCCTGTGTGGTCTAGAACTGGATTTGAGTGTAATAAAAAAAAATTGTAAATTATTATTTTTTTTTCATAATTTCTGTTGCTTTGTAATATGTAATCAAAATATTTTATAAACGGTATTTTATTACTGGGCCGCGCCTCAATTAATGATGGGCCTGTGTCTAATGGGCCTCTAGTATCCACTTCTTTCGTAGTTTAATGGGCCTATTCCAACTGTTCATGTTAAACATTATATGGGCTTATGATTGTAATTGTCCATTGGTCTATCTACCAATTACAACTCATTAAACATTAAACCTGCTCAGAAATCAAATTTATGAAGACAATATAAATTCCACAAACTTGCATTTTATTTAATCATAAAAATGTACATAAATATTTTCCCATCGCCAGTCATTTACATAATATGAAATTTCGTCGAGTACAATGGTCAGTGCGAGACAATAATTAACTACACTAATAATCCCAAAGCTGGATAATTTGTTCGTCATCCTGCGTGCAATAAGCTAGGTAAATACAGTCTCCGTGAGGCTTCTGCGACCATGGGATGTCAGCCATGTATACATTGTCACTGTAAACGTCCGGATTCCCAATGCTTTCCGGAGGTTGTAGTTGAACAGGCATTTTATCTTGTATACCCCCTGATTGCCCAGTCTGGAGAGGTCTACTACTTTGAACCACATCTCCATGCCCTTGGCGTGAGTTTATTGGAGCGCAACGGGAATTTTTTTCAAATTGTAAATATGCCCGCCCAAAGAAAATAAAGGGCAGGATTCCAAGTATTATATTATGCAACCCCGGAGCCGATTCTAGTTACAAAGAGTTTTTAGAAAAAAATGAACACGCCAGGCTCAAAGCGTGGATGATCAGAAACGCAGAATTCTATACAGTCGTTCAGCCCCTGTTCGCCAGAACCAATCAAGAAGAGGCATCGTAATGCAAAGAAGAAGGCCCAACGTAGGAAGATATTCCACTTCCAATGCGGCTGTTCAGTATTCCATACGAACGGCTATGTCGAACCACATACATTGGAGAGAGAGGACGATGTCAGGGGTCTTTTACGATACTTTGAAGAACCCGATGCGGTTCAAAGTAGTAGACCTCTCCAGACCGGGCAATCAGGAAGTGTACAAGATAGAATGCCTGTTCAACTACAACCTTCGGAAAACATTGGGAATCCGGACGTTTACAGCGGCAATGTATACATGGCTGACATCCCATGGTCGCTGAAGCCTCACGGAGACTGTATTTACCAAGCTTATTGCACGCAAGATGACGAACAAATTATCCAGCTTTAGGATTATTAGTGTAGTTAATTATTGTCTCGCACTGACCATTGTACTCGACGAAATTTCATATTATGTAAATGACTGGCGACGGGAAAATATTTACGTACATTTTTATGATTAAATAAAATGCAAGTTTATGGAATTTATATTGTCTGCATAAATTCGATTTCTGAGCAGGTTTAATGTTTAATGGGCTGTAATTGGTAGATAGACCAACGGACCAATTGCAATAATAAGCCCATATAATGTTTAACATGAACGGTTGAATAGGCCCATTAAACTATGAAAGAAGTGGATACTAGAGGCCCATTAGACATAGGCCCATCATTAATTGAGGCGCGACCCAGAGACCCATTACACATAGGCCCATCATTAATTGAGGCACGGCCCAGTAATGAAATACCGTTTATAAAATATTTTGATTACATATTCCAAAGTAACGCAAATTATGAAAAAAAATAATAATTTACAATTTTTTTTATTACACCCAAATCCAGTTCTACACCACACAGGCACATCTGGTTCAGGCGCCATGACGTAATAATAATCAGCGACGGCATATGTGTCTGACGTCGCTTGGGTTTCTAGTTCTGAAACCGTTTTCATACCGGCGAATAGAGCATCTTGTTGCCGTTGACAGGCGTTGATGAGTTGGATTAACTTTTTGGCGTTGTTTTCGCCGATGACCAACAAGGACCAGTGCACCAGCAATAGATTCGGCTCGTATTTTAAATCAACCGCCTAAATTGGCCTAGATCTCCGCGATCCATTTCCAAAATAATTCAAACTCTCCTATTATTTTGGCTTATATAATAAATTCCCGATTGCGCTTGCCTTTTTAGGTTTTTAATCCTGGCTGCAGATCTGGCTGCGAAGCGGTGCCCCTAGACGACAACACGCCGCGAATTGCGGAAGGGAGCACCAATCGGGGGATGACACGTGGCGCGGGGGGAGCATCCCAGGTAATATTAGTGGGACGCTCCTGGGCACCTATATAACTCACTCCCTAACTCTCTTCCACCAGTAAAGTTTTTCAGAGAGTGACTTGCGTCATCCGAGAGAGTAAGTGACGTCATTTGAGAGTGAGTTATGGCATTAATGCGACGTCGTTTTAGAGTCCAAAACAAGAACATCTTCCTCACATATGCCCAATGTTCCATACCCAAAGAGAGATTATTAGAGAAAATTAGAGCGTTGTTCACAACCGGGCCGCCAAGTTTTGTGAGGGTTGCAAATGAATTACACAAGGACGGGCAACCACATCTCCATGCCCTTGTCCAATTTCCATACCGTTTTCAGACGCAGAATGAACGGTTCTTCGACGTTACTCACGATCGAACTAGTCGCCATTTCCATCCGAATGTACAAGGGGCATACAACCAACAGAATGTGCTGGAATACATCTCCAAACACGGGGATTACACGGAATGGGGTGAATTCCGTGAGAGGAGCCGCTGCACTAATGAGAGTAACAAAGAAAATATATATCGCGATGCACTTGCTGCCGGCACCAAGGACGAAGCACTAGCACTGGTACGAAATGACGATCCAAAATGTTTCAGGTTAAATTATGACAAGTTGTCATCCAATTATGACTGGATTTCAGTTAATCCACCATTGCCGTGTGTTCATCCATTTACAGACACAGTATGGATTGTTCCAACAACCATACAGCAATGGGTTACAGACAATATAAGAGACGAAGCCCAAACACCGCACAGGCCCAAGAGCAGTATAATTGAAGGCCCATCTAGAATTGGGAAAACATGTTAGGCCCAGTCTTTGGGACCGCATAATTATTATTCAGGCCACATCGACTTGAGGGACCACAAGAACGACGCTTTCTACAACATAATCGATGATGTGGCCCCACAATTTTTGAAACATTGGCGCGAGTTTATTGGAGCGCAACGGGATTTTTTTTCAAATTGTAAATATGCCACAAAGAATAAAGGCGGATTCCAGTTTTATTATGCAACCGAGCGATTCTAGTTCAAGAGTTTTTAGAAAAATGAACACGCTGGGTCAAAGCGTAGACGATCAGACGCGAAAAATGTTGGTTAGGTCGTCAGCCCTGTTCGCAGACAATCAAGAGAGGATCTATGCAGCAGAAGGCCCAAGCAGGAGTATTCCATTCCTCGGTTGTTCGATATTCCTTCGAACGGCTGTCGACCACATCGTTGGGGAAGAGGCGTGTCAGGGTCTTTTACGTATTGAGAACCGATGCGGTTTCAAAGAGTAGACTTCCAAACCGGGCCCAATCGGGTTGTTAAGAAGAATGCCTGTCACTTTACTCAGAAACTTGGGGGACCGGACGTTTACAGCGACAATGTATACTGGTTGACATCCCATGGTTGTGAACCTCACGGGACTAGGCACACATCTACTCTGCCTTGTCCAATTTCATACGTTTTAGAGCGAATGAATGGTTTTCCGCGTACTCAACGATCGAACTAGTGCCCTTTCTTCCGAGTGTAAAGGGCTAAAACAAACAGAATTGCTAGAATACATCTCCAAACATGGGGATTACACGGAATGGGGTGAATTCCGTGAGAGTAGCCGCTGCGCTAACCAGAATAACAAAGAAAATATATATCGGGATGCACTTGCAGCCGGCACCAAGGACGAAGCACTAGCACTGGTACGAAATGGCGACCCAAAATGTTTCTGGTTAAATTATGACAAGTTGTCATCAAATTATGACCGGATTTCATTTAATCCACCATTGCCGTATGTTCATCCATTTACAGACACAGTATGGATCATTCCAACGGCCATACAGCAATGGGTTGCGGACAATATAAGAGACGAAGCCCAAAGACCGCACAGGCCCAAGAGCATTATAATTGAAGGCCCATCTAGAATTGGGAAAACATGTTGGGCCCGGTCTTTGGGACCGCATAATTATTATTTTGGCCACATCGACCTGAGGGACCACAAAGACGATGCTTTCTACAACATAATCGATGATGTGGCCCCACAATTTTTGAAACATTGGCGCGAGTTTATTGGAGCGCAACGGGATTTTTTTTCAAATTGTAAATATGCCCGCCTAAAGAAAATAAAGGGCGGGATTCCAAGTATTATATTATGCAACCCCGGAGCCGACTCCAGTTACAAAGAGTTTTTGGAAAAACATGAACACGCCGGGCTCAAAGCGTGGAGGATCTGAAACGCAGAATTCTATACAGTCAACGAGTCCCTGTTCGCTGGAACCAATCAAGAAGAGGCATCGTAATGCCAAGAAGAAGGCCCAACGCAGGAAGATATTCCATTTCCAATGCGGGTGTTCGATATTCCATACGAACGGCTGTGTCGAACCACATACATTGGAGAGAGAGGATGTTGTCAGCGGTCTTTTACGATACTTTGAATAACCCGATGTGGTTCAAAGCAGTGGACATGTCCCGATCAGCCAATCTGGGGGTGTACAAGATAGAATGCCTCTTCAACTACAACCTCTGGAAAGCATTGAGAATCCGGACGTATACCACGACAATGTATACATGGTTGACATCCAGTGGTCGCAGAAGCCTGTCGGAGACTGTATTTACCCAGCTTATTGCACACAGGATGACGAACAAATTATCCAGCTTTGGGATTATTAGCCCTGTAAATTATTGCCTCGCACTGACCATTTTATCTTGTGGGGAAGGTCCTGAAATTCCCGTCCTCGGGAACTTGGGTACGAGAGGAGAAGGTTCTAAAATGAGCACCCTCACTCGCCCGATCAAAGATCGACCTCTACTAACATGCTATGTTGTTTTTGAAAACACATGTATTCTTATTCCAGTTATTAATCTAGAATTTACTATGTGATGCGCACAACATACAAGTATAGACTAAATCACTCAAGTTGGAACAAAAGAACTCATGCTTGTTTGTTTGAAAATGGTTTGAAATTGCTACCCTCAAGTAGGCTAAGACGCGGATTTGCCACCCTCAAGTGGGCTTAGAAAACAACATGATTTTGCTACCTCAAGTGGGCTTAAAACTCACATTTCGATGAATTGTTCCCATTCAAGCAGTTAAGCCTTCATCCACGGGTATTCATGCAGTTATAGCAATTAAACAAATAGCCTCATGGCAAGCATGCTAGCATGGCAGTCACTTACACACATGCAAGGATGCCAAAGTATAAACACTCACAGTGTACTCCGAGCCAAAATAGAAGCTAGTTAGAAATCATGCATGATCCTAGCTATGTTAAGATGCCTAATGTAGCACATGCAAAAATGGAGCTAAAATAGGCTCAGCTGGCTAAGATGGCATATGAATGCAACAATTTGATACGTGTAGTCAAATAGGAGTTGAAATACAATGCCGTTTGAATGATGCACCGAGCCCGGTGCATGCAAGACAAATGAATGATGCATGCATGCAAAGCATAAGTATGCTAATTGAGATATGCCCTAAACTAACCATCGAAAGCTGATAAGTAAAAGGGAGAAAGAAATGGGGTTGGAAGACATGCATCACACACACGCACACTTAGTACAACATTGGCCCTCTCGACGGAGGGTCCAAATAATAAGCTAATTAGCTAATCTAAGTTAATTAATCTAATTATTACAAAACGAAACTAATTAACTAACAAGTTAACCAATTAGTTATTACAACACAAATTGATAGCTAAGTGCATTAACTACGTAAGTACAGAACCAAATAGCTAACTAGCTAAGCAAAGCATTTAAAAGGAGCTTCGGGGTGAGAAGTGCATGCATGCTCGATCACCTCGTTCAGAAATCCATCGCTATGCCCCAACTTGCCTCTGTTTGCATTTGATTTCAGAACACTACACAAACCTCCAGATAGCTTCTACTCCATCATGGGAACCTCCAGGAGGGCTGCCGACCAGAAGATGGTGGTGTTGACCACCTGTAGACCACCTAAGTATGCTGCAGACCAGAAAAAGTGGTCGGCCAGCTACTTTTTCTGGTTTGCCGACCAGAAAATTCTGCCCAACTCCATTTTGTTGTAACAGAGAACAAGAAGGGGCACAGCAGTGTATTTGCAAGGTATGTGTGCACACCCACCCTCCCAATCATTTCTCAAGCTCAAGGGAGTGTAGTTCATAACTCTCAGGCCACCAACTGACCATCGCAATGCACGATGGCTGAGAAGCCAAGTTTGCACAATTCAATGTCAATGAATGCACAAATAACACATAAGGGCCTTAACCTCTATCGTACTTGATCAAGAGGGTCGACGACTGAGAAATAAGGCACGTTTCATCACTTCAAGTATGAAACGTCCCTCATTTCTTGTGTTTGGATTAACATCCTATCCAAACACAATGCAATGCAACATGATCAACCTATCAATGCTAATGGCATGCAAACACAATGCAATGCATGCACATGAAAACACAACGCAATACAACAACATGAAAACAAAATGAAATGCAACAACATGCAAACAACATGCTATTCTAGCAATGCGAGAATGGCATGCACAAAATTCTATCACGCAAACAATGCATGCATGTCAAGCTTAGAACCTTAAGGCATCATAACTAGAAAAGAGCATCTCACAAGAGGCATGCAAAACAATGCTCAATGGAGTTAAACTGAATATGGAAAGACCTAAATCATGCCAAAATAGTGGCCAACACACCAAGGCTTAAGCACAAAAGGGCCAAGAACACATGCTCATGTGATGGCTCATCAAGTAGGCATAAAAGCACAACTCTCAAACATGATCAAGAAGTGACAAACATGGAAGTGTGACAACACTATATGCTCTGAAATCAGGTGTGAAATAATGCCAAACCATCCAAACAACACAAGCATTGCATGCTAGGGACATGAAAACACAAGGCAAGTAACCTAGAATGCACTATGCCTATACAAAGCAAGGCATGTACGGCCCAAACAACATAAAATAGAGCTTAAGCATGGTAAAACAAGAGTAAAAGCTTGCTGGAGTTGAGCCAAACACATGCTAGAATGATGGTCCAAAGCATGATGCATTTTAAGCTAGTTTAGTGGAATTGCACTACAAGTGCAAGGAGCATGCTAGAGGCTATCAAACCAAGTCAAAACAGAGTTATACCATGGCTAAACAACACCAAAAAAATTCTGAGATTGAACCAAAACATGCTAGAAAGGCATGCTACTTTGAAAAGCTTCAAGTAGGATTACACTACACCTACAAGAAGCATGCAAGGGGTGACCAAGACAACCAAAAAGAGAGTCATGGCAGGTCTAAAAGGTCACAAAAAACTGCTCAAACAAACCTTCAAGAAAATACAGCAACATGCTTCTTTGATGAGCCATCAACACAAGCAAACAAGAGAAGAGGAGGGGGGACAACCCCCTCCTATTTGAGACCTCAAAACCCACTTTCCACCACTAAAATTCCTCCGAAATTCAGTGGTGAAGAGGCCAAATAAAGATGATCACAAAGGCCTATAGTGATGGCTCAAAAGCCTAGCAAATAAGGCATGCAAGGGAGTAGGCCACCACCAACACAAAAGAAGCCTTAAACGAACATTTCAAATACTTAAAAATGTAGCTTTTTGCAGTAGAAAGTCAAGCCAAAATAAGCATGTAGGGGTGGCCTAGTAAGCAACTACAACAAGGGTTTAAGAGGATTAGAGACTCACCCTTGAAGAATCAAAGCAAGACAGCAACTTCTGAGGCAAAAACCAAACCTTGAGCTCCAAACAAACCTCCAAGAACCTCAGTCCAAGATTGAAGGTGTTTCACTATGTGTTTGTGTGTAAAAGTGTGAAGAAAAGGCACTTTCAAGCACAAATATGAGACAAAGAGAGAAATATAGAGATAGAAGCGTATGTATAGCTCTATGCAAAAATTTTGAACCTGACACAAGAGGGAGGAGGCTCCCTTTTATAGAAAAACATGCATCAAGCTTGTTGAACAAGCTTGAAGCTTTGATCAATCCCTCCATACACGTGTATGGAGGATGCTTTCTGTGCCCAACAGCTGGCATGGAAAATATCTGCAGAAAGTGCAGGAAAGCTGCCGACCAGTTGAAGTGGTCGGCCAACTACTTGCACTGGTCGGCCGACTAGAAAAAGTGGTCTGCAAGGAGACCAACTGGTCGGCAATGGGGAGAGGTGGTCTGCAAAAAGAAAGCAAGGTGGTGGCATGGCTGCCGATCACTTTAGGTGGTCCAAATATGCACCAACCATGTCCCTTATCATGATAATGACTCAAAGGAGGATGTGCCCCGATTCTCGGACCACCAATCACGCATTTCCATGCATGATGGCCCAAAGAACCAAGTATGCAACTTTGGTTTCAAATGCATGCAAACCAAATCAAACCAATGTCCTAATCCCTATCACCAAATCAAGAGACAAGGAATGCATGCAAAATGCAATGCAACCTAAGCATACAAGCTAAGGATACAACATGGCATGGGGGCAAGCTTATGCAAGCATACAAGCATACATATGGCAATGCAAATAGATGGAACGATGGACTTATGCATGAATTAGGCAGCTCCAAATAGGCCTAAAACAGTAGCCATTAATGCCTAAAAATGGAGACCAAAACACATGCACACATACATATGTTGGAAGGCCAACACTTAGGCACAAATTAGAAAACCCTCAAGCACACTTGAAAGGGACAATCATGAACAATTAGCATGCAGCATGAGCTCTAAAATCATGTTATAAAATGATGCCAAATCATATTAAACAAGACAAGCAAGTGCATGCAAGCATGGTCCAAGTACTTGAAGCAAGTCATGATGCTTTGAAGCATGTTTATCACAACAAACATGGCATGCATTAAACTACTAAAACAGATTTTTAGCATGTCAAAACAAGGCCAAAGGACTCCTTAGATGGCATCTAAGTGACTCAAATACAAAGGCATGCATAAACACCGAAACATGGAGCATTGCTACACAAGCTTAAGAGGCATTAAAGATGCATGCAAGGCAATCAAACAAGCATGGAAATGGGACTGAAATAACATATAAAGTGACCCCAAATCACCACATCGATGCAAAGATGTCATGCTACACATGCACATACTCAAGGCCAACAAGCCCAAATACAAAGGAGCTATATCAAGCATGCCAAAATCAACCCAAACACTTATGGACAGACCTAAAACCTGGCAAAATATGCACATAATCTTCACAAGACTAAGCCTAAAACATGCTCCAACAATGGCTAACAACCTAAGACATGTTAAGGCATAAACAAGGCATTACATGGCAACTATGCTAAGCATGCATGGAGTACCAAAACCAACTTGAAATCATGTTATATTATGGATATATAAGCATGAAAAACAGCCTAAACATGTTCAACACACACTCAAGCATAATGCTCTCTCAAGAGGCCAAAACATGCCCTTTTCAAGGACAACAAGGAGAGGGGGTGGCCCTCTCCTTCTTGGGACTTCAAGGCATCATCTTCACCACTGAAATCCCTCAAGATTTCAGTGGTGAAGAGACCCCAACACCAAAATCCCGGAGCTAGCACAAAATGGCCCAAAATGAGGCCTTTCAAGGCCTAAGGGGGGTCAACCACCCTCAAACAACAAAACACTCTTAATAAACAATAAAGAGGGCCTAAAAAAAGAGCTTTTTTATGTTATACAATAAGCACAAAAACAGCTCTAAGATAGGTAAAAAATCAATGCAAAATTGGGGAAAAAAGGTGTAAGTTTCTTACCCTTGATGATCCCTTCACAAATGGTGCTCCAATGGCCTCCTTTAGCTTGGATCCAACACCAAAACTTCAAAACCAGTCCCTTAGAAACTCAAGAGCCAAAGGAAGGTGAAACACTATGTGTTTGTGTGCAATAGTATGAACTAAACACTATTTTACACACACAACAGGGAAAAAAGGAGAGAGATAGGATGTGTATCTAATCCTAACCCTAAAACCAGAGCTTGGTCTGTATTTTTCTCTCCCTCCAATGTCTAAACTCTAACCTAAGTCCTCTCCTTTTTGCTCCAAGAGAGAGCCTCTCTCTATATGTCTTGTAAAGCTTACAAGACAAGCTTTACAAGTGGGAGATCCCTCCATACACGTGTATGTAGGGATGCAAAAGCAAGACAGCTGTCTAAAAATATCTGCAAAAGCAGATGAACAGCAATTGGCCGGCCAAAAATGCCATCTTGGCCAAAAAGAGTGCCGACCGGCACAAAATAGTGCTGACCGGCAACAAAAAGTGCCGGCCGGCAAACTATATTGCCGGTGGAGGCAAAAAACCAGCTGGTGGCCTCTAGCCACTACCGGTGGTGGGTGGGGATGGTCTACAAGCCCCACCCTACCTCTCAAGGGCAAGATGCAAGTGTTTGGTGCAAAACCAGACACT